CTGGAGGACATTTCTGTAAGACGTTAATGACGAACTCTACAGAATTTTATTACAAATATTATTTTCTGATAATCGCCCCCTTAGGTTTACCTGGCAGCATGATCCTTTAGAACATTGTGATTAAGTCTTCTGTGGCATCTTTTCGTGCTCTGAAATCCTAATTTCCCTCAAAAAATGACCACAAAGTATTTTATTAGTTGTTACATTAATGTAATCGGTTATATATCTGGCTGCGGGTGCTGCACTGAAAACACTGTAATCACACAGTCTATGCTCTATATGATATTGTTTGTTGACTCTCTGAAACCTTTTTTTTTTTATAATCACAGAAAATGCCAGAGAAGAGCGTGATCTTGTTGCACGCTTGTGCCCACAACCCCACCGGTGTGGACCCCAAGATTGAGCAGTGGAAGGAGATCGCTAGCGTCGTGAAGGTGCGAACGTTTCATCTCAAAAAAGTTCTGAGAATGACGTCTATACACATTGTTCTTTAACTGTTGTTGAGCACTGTCTTTGTATCCAGCCATTAAACATTATTAACTTGCTGTCTCTTTCCTGCGTCCTTCCCCTTTCCTTCTCACCTCACAGCAAAAGAATCTGCTCGTGTTCTTCGACATGGCCTATCAGGGCTTCGCCAGTGGAGACATTGATCGTGATGCCTGGGCTGTGCGCCACTTCGTTGAGGAGGGCCACAACATCGTGCTGTCCCAGTCCTTCGCCAAGAACATGGGACTTTATGGTGAGTCATTATCCACTCCGAACTCTTCTTAAATAAATGTCAATAAAGATCACATGGACGTAAGAGGAGTTATAAGATATTTTCATTTAATTATCATTGAGTAAATCCCATGTGACTGGCAGTGATGGAGTTCATGACCAGAGAATGAAGAATCTACCTTTTTACTGACTGGGTGAAGTCAAGCTTGTGTTTTGTCACCACCTAGTGGTGAAACACTGATGGCAAAACCTACTTATTCAATTATCAATCAGTCTTTCAAAGCACTACATGTATTTGTATTAAAATGTGAGATAGTATAGTTACTTTCTTAGTACAGCTCCTCATGTGACCTTATCCAGCAATAATCTTTCCATACTCAGCAAAAAGGAGTTTTTGTCCAAAGAGTGTCTTGTTTCATTAATGTCTAGTATTTCTTTCTAGATTTGAGTTTAAAGCCTCGGCCATATCAATACTGTCTGAGCTCTTTGTCAAGGCCCCTCCTCATAACTGAACTTCATTTAAGACATTGGGTCATGAGTCTGGGTTCATTTTCACAGATTTCCCACAGTTTCTAACGTGTTGTGTTAGACCTTCTGTAAATCACTGTTTAACTGTCATATGGTGCATGTTGATTTTCACAGGTGAGCGCGTGGGAGGCTTCAGTGTCGTGTGTAACGATGCAGAGGAGGCAAAGAGGGTCGAGTCTCAGCTTAAGATCCTCATCAGACCCATTTACTCCAACCCACCAATGAACGGTGCCAGAATTGCTACAACCATTCTCAACACACCAGACCTGCGCTCAGTGTGGTACGTGTTTATTGATCTATATATATATATATATATATATATAAACTGTACATTACCTTCAGGTTCAAGTCTCCATTTTTCATATTTATTAAACCAGTTGAGATTTATTCCTTGATCTTTTCTATCGCTGTGTTATTTATCCCAGGCTGGAGGAGGTCCACGGTATGGCAAACCGCATCATTAAGATGAGAGAACAGCTGGTGGCGGGACTGAAGAAGGAGGGCTCCTCTCACAACTGGCAGCACGTCATCGACCAGATCGGGATGTTCTGCTTCACAGGCCTCAAACCAGAACAGGTCAACACACACGCACGTCGTTGATTTTCACTGCTGATTGTAGAGGACGAAAGAAAAATATGTTCCTCATTAAAATTAATTCTAAAATGAAACCAACTGTACCAAATGATGTCATACACCAGATGTATAATTCAGCAAATGATATGAAGGTTTTGTTAGTTTGACATAGTTCGAGTTTCTCCTGGCAGTTTCACAAACTGATTTTTTGTGCAAACTAAACAAACAGCACACGACGTGTTAACATTTTACTGTTGACATGAGAATTGTATCTATCTTCTCATCAGACGTTCAAACTATTTCTTTGAGATCAAAGAGTGCAGAGAATATTTTACAGTTTACAAAGAAGCACCTGCAACCAAGACAAAATAAAAAGGTCAGACAGAAAGAAATAGAGACAGAATCACAGACCTTCTGGATTTATTTGTAGGGCAACAGATAACTCCTATCAGGTTATGTTCTTTTTACAATGACATGCACTGACAGGCACATTTTGAAGTTACCAGTATGGTTTGAATGTCCTAAAAGGTTATGATAGAAAGAAACACTCTTTACTTTGTTGTCACTGTCCTACTTATAAATCAATGTCTCTTCTTTTGATTTTGTCAACAACTGCTCATCTGATGGACTTACGGTTACACTGGGCGTGTCTGTCGCTGAGGACCCATAAAAACGTGCAAGTACTGACATGTGAATGTGTTTTCCCACAGGTTGAGCGCTTGTCAAAGGAGTTTTCCGTGTACATGACTAAGGACGGCAGAATCTCCATGGCAGGCGTGTCCTCTGGAAATGTGGGCTACCTGGCGGAGGCGATCCACGCTGTTACCAAGTAGAGCGGATCGTGCTAGAAGACCTACAAAATCAAAGCAGCGGTGTTATTGAGGAGAGCCATGTGCTACTTATTCTCTGTCTGCTCCATTCCACCGTTAGAAAAGAGCTCAATATTTACTTAGACTTTTGATTGGATTTCATCTTGAGTTCAACTTGTCCCTGTTCAAGCAGCTACTGCTTTTTTCCTCTCTTTTTTTCGAAACATTTCACTGAACAGGCTGCCCCTGCCAAATTGTTAAAAAAAAGAAAGAAAGAAATCTCCATGTAACTGATTGAACTGATGTCTCATCTGTGTGTATTTGTCATGTGGAATCAACTGTTGGCTGTGCATTAGTATCCTCCTGAATGTGCACTGTTATCTGCTGTGGGCACACGCTCTAGAAAACATCAGGAGACTAACACTGGGGTCACGTTAGGCTGTGCATTAGTTTTACATGCAAGGTCAGATCTCCCTCACTTTGTGGAGGCCTCTACAAAAATGAGAGTTCTTTTTCTTTTCTTAATTTTAATGGTTAAGTTGTCGCACTTTATAAGCAGCAATGCACTGTTTGAGTTTCAAAGATTAGGCTGACACTCTGTTTTTATCATTTGACTTTACAGACGTTTGTCAATCAGATAATCAATTCACTATTCAGGCTTATCTGTGGTAGTTCATCTGAACTAATCAATCACTTGGCAATTTTGTTTCCTTATTATCTCTGTTTGGAATGTGCCCGTCAATCTCCCATGTATTCAGTACGTTTCCACAAAACCTGCAGGGCCGCAGTCATTCGTCAGTCCCTGAAACTAGTCCCCAAGCCTAAAGAGTTCAACTTGGTACAAAGACGTGATCAATTACTTCCACCATAAGTTATTTTATATTCCATCACAGCCCAGAACCAAAGGCCCCCTTTTCTTCATCAACACGTACAGTATGCACTCCCAGCTCATTCACTGAGACCTGTCTGTGAGTGAATCTGTTCGTCATCAAGACTGATGGCACAGGTGGCATTTAGGAATGTGTGCTCTCACCTAACTGCTCATGCGTCTGATATGTCTGGCACTTTGCCTCCATGCATTCTGTCATGAAATAATAATGGATCATTGGTACCTTATTGAACAAACAATAAATTATTATAGAGTAATCACCTGTTCTAATGTGCGTTTGTGTTTCCCTTGTTTTCCCTAATGTCATCAGTTAACCAGCATTTCACACTCCTCTCCATGCAACTTGCTTATTCTGATTGATGGTTTCATTTACATAACAACAGTATGTATAGCTGTGGGTTTACACCAGGAGATGTCATAATGCTTATCTTATAAACCTATAATCATTGATAGTTTTGTTTCAGCTGGTAATCAATGACTATTAAGGGTTTCATGAGAGTATATATTGTTGAGTTTCCATTCAAGTAAGAAACTTTGCAACCCACTGTTTCCTCAGGGAAGTACTCAGCTGTGAGCCCACAGATTGTGAAACAGATAACCCTAATTTCACTTGTTTCAGTGCAGCACCAAGTTTGTATTTAGTGGCCTAATTAAATCAAAATCCACCTGTAAAAAAAGCAGTGGAGGAATGTTACAAAGTGCATTTCCTGAAGAGCTTCAGTACCAGTTGGAAGTACTTAACCTAATTTTACCCTCCATGACTTTGAAAATGAGACAAGGGTTAAATTAAGTCTTAAAAAGTGATTTTTTATATCCCACAATATATCAAGTAGAGCTAAAACCATTAACCAACTAACAGAAAATTAATGGGCAACTGCTCTGGTCATCTTAATCATTTCTCACAAGAAATAACAAGTTTCATGGTCCCAGCTTCTAAAATGTGAAAATTCTTTATAATTTGATTATTTTAAATCATTTTTTTTTAAATAACTGAGGTCATAAGACAGAACAAATAAAGACAAACATTGTGAGGGTGTCACTGTGAAGGCGTTTCTTTTTACTTTCTGACTTTTTACAAGACAAACGGCGTAATGATTAATTGGGGAATAAAATAATCATCACACCATTAACAGTAAAGAGGTTCATTATTCTGGATTGAGTCCATTTTAACCTTGGATATTTTGAACGCACTTGTTCACAGTGACACTCTTCTACTTCAGTGGGATTTCTTATTCGTAATGCAGTATTGTGAAACAGTGGTGCTGGTACTCATGAGGAGGCGCCTCACACACACACACACACACACACACACACACACACACACACACACACACACACACACACACACACACACACACACACANACACACACACACACACACACACACACACACACACACACACACACACACACACAGAGAACTACGCTACCCACAGTTCCGCACGGGCACGGGCACGCCCAGCTCTCCGGTCACATGACGGATGTCACGTGTGTCTGTGCCGCTTCACCCAGCTGCTGTGATTTTGAGCTGCTCGGTCATTCTGTGTGAAAACATCACAGCTGCTGCCTTCACGGCCCACACCTTCTGCTCCGAGCGGAGACGAGGACACGGCGGGAATACCCGAGGTAGCGACGTGTGTTGTGTTGGGTTGTGTTGGGGAAGGTGTGTGGTGTTTGCTAACTGTGTGCTGCTGTAGGTGAGCAGAGGACAACACAAGTTATTGTCACGTTAATGTGAAGTGAAACATGGAGGCTCAGAGCTGATGTGTTTAAGTGAGCAGCTCATGGTGTCTGTGTGTTGAGGTCACACTCCTCTGGTTTCATGAGACACCGGATCGACTGAGGTGGAGTTATTGTTTGACATGTGTCTGCTGGCAGCACAGTGACTGAACAACGAGGCTTTTAAAAGGAGAGACATCTATATTAGTGTTAATATCTCTATTGGCTGTGAATGTGTGTGTCTCTGTTACAGATCCCTGGTGTGCACCGCTCAGGCTGGAGAGAAGTCAGGCATCATGGATTTGCAAGGATAAAGGTACGCTCATTAAATGACTCAAAAATGAACTCAGGTCAGTTTTATTGATATAGAACCAAATCACGAGATAGATTATCTCTAGGCATCTCAACTTCCCTTTAACAGGAAGTAACCTCTAGTACAGTTATGAATGTCATGTTGAATACAGTGCCTGAAGTAACAAAAACATAAATATCCATAAAGTTAGGGACAGAATTTTACCACCTTTAATTTTTAATCTGGTTCGTGAGACGACCAGTAAGCCCTGATCAGAGGACCTATTAAATGACCTACTTAGGATTACTGTGCATATGGAGCAGGTCAGTGTTGTAAGCAGGAGCCTGACCATGCAGTGCTCCGTATGTGGAATCAAGTATCGTTAAATAAATTCTGACTAAGAATGATAAGATACAGGAAAGAGCCCTGCACAGTAATGTAAATCCAACTGTCACTGTGTTCTAGTTTCCATGCTTGAGAGGTGCATGGTATAAAAGAAATAATTGTACTGGCCAATCCAAACTTTGCTCTAAAGAGCCACAGATGATCAAAACTGCTATATGTTCACACGTGGGTTACCAGTGCAGGGTTTTCATGTCAAACCATAAACTAAACAACCCACTGTTACACATTAGACAAGGATATTGGACTTCAACATGTTAAAAATATGACTGGAGATCATTTTTTTCAGTTGTCATTTTCCAGTGCAGGTGTCTAAAATATCCAAACTATATTTCACTACAGGTTGAGGACTGAGTGGCTCCACCATCACACAGACGCTGGTGATAACAGAGAAACATAAGCTGCTCCTGAAAATTGTGGAACTAAAGTGGCTGGACGTAAAATATTCCATCTGCACCGGAGGGAATATTCTTCCCTTCACTCAGACCTTCGATAACTCTGATCCACTTTAATTCACTTTGGATTCAGTCAGTTGAAATTGGATCTTCTGGTTTGAGTGAGGCTTCACAGGCCGAGCTGCAGCCGGTCAAGTCATGGCGATCAACGCTGACGTGGAGGACTGGGGTGGCGTTGGGAACAGCGACTCTGGAGAAAGGGCGTGGCTCCTTCAGAGCCCCAGCGTGGACTCCGTGCAGCACCTTGAGACGGACAGGAGGAGGAGTGGAGGGGTGTCGTCTCTAGGAGCGGTCTTCATTGTGGTGAATGCGGCATTGGGGGCAGGTCTGCTCAACTTCCCTGCTGCTTTCAATATGGCTGGAGGAGTAACTGCAGGAGTGATGCTTCAAATGGTGAGGACATCGCAGTGAAAATTACTCCCGTACACAACTCCTTTCCCCTGCTGAAGGAAGCTGGTGTTCTCCACTCAAAGCCTTTGCTGTAATGCATAGGCATTGTTTAAATATAGATTGAACTTTTGTTCTATTGTTATTGATGAAAATGATTGTGTTTGTTTGATATTGTTTTATTGCCCACCCCTAGTTTTAATATCACAGATTCGGTTGCAACCCCCCAAAAACACATTTTCAATTCATTTGAAACCCTTGTAGAACAGCAAAAATCATGAAGAATATCTTCACAATTGACTTGAAGTGGTGTCTTAAATAAAAGTCTGCCCAGAAGCCAAAACGCATTTCAGTTCATCAGAGAGAAGGAAACAACTCTGGGCAATAAGGTCTTTAGAATTGGAATTTTTCACGACCAATCAAAGCTTTGTAGACAAATAATTCTTCTGTGTTTGAGAAACATAAAACCACCAACCTTTATCAGACTGATTCATGTTTCTTAATCCTGATTGGTGAAAAACCTGCAAACCAGTGAAAAAAACATATTTCACGTGATAAATGACTAAAGTTTCTGCCTGATTGTTAATAAGTTAAACTAAAGGTGGCTTCAGTGCAGACAGACGCAGTATTTTCACATGAGTCTGCAGTGACTGATGGAACCCATTCAGATTGTCTGTGATTGTCTGTGTCAGCAACACACCTACTGATAGAAAACAGGATCTATAACATGATGCTTCCCGTTTCTCTGTTTCAGTTTATGCTGATCTTCATTATCACTGGACTGGTGATTCTGGGCTACTGCTCCCAGGTCTGTGACTTCCTGAACATTCTTTATCTCTCACTGTTTCAACCTGTTCCTGTTTTTCTTTCCCGCAACATCTACTTTGTCTGATGCTATTATTTATCCTTCATAAGTGCTGGAATTATCCGAGACGTTTTCTTGTCTCATTTGTCTTGTGTGGTTTAATCTTTAAAAAGTGGAGCGTTGCACAAAATATCAGACTTTAACTTCCTGATTGGCTCAGACTTGTGCTTGGATTTTAAAACAGTGGATTGAGTCAGGACATTTTACACTTTGATCACCTGACTTTAAAGATGATATTTGTTTGGACCTAGAAACATCTGCAGAGTTTTGTTTTTTAATCATATTCAGCTGTAGGATGAACTTTGTCTTGAGTGGTACCATTAAAACTGTTGACTTCATGAGTATGATTGGCTGACTGTGCTAACCTGCTGCTCCTTTCCCATGATAAGCAACATATCTGATACCTGCTCCTTTAAACTACACTCATGCTGTGTTTCAGCTGCTTTAAATGAAATCACATGAACTTTATCAGCAGGTTTTTTCTTTTTACAGCAAAGAAAGAGAGAATGAAGCCACTGTGAGGACATGATTGACTAAATAGGAAAGTGGAGGGCTGTTCCTGGATCTGTTTTTGAAACCAAACATCAGTGTTTTACTTGATGCTGCTGGCACTTTTTATTTTTAGTGGTGAATCTGCATTGTATGAAATGGAGCCAGACTGATAGTAATTTTCTGGAGCTGATACTGATGTGGGAAAATTTCTGATACACATGCATCAGCGGATATCTATGTATATAATACAAAACACTTGACAGACGGACAGATTTCTGGAATGAGTAGATAGACAGCCAGTCGTTTTCGGGTTTAACGTGATAACTTAAGCTTCTGCTTAAAGTAATGCCTTCAAATTTGGTAGAAAACTTTCACTTGGACTTGATTTTGGAGGTCAAGGTCACACTGTCTTGAATAGATATCTCAAGATCAATTGTCACTTGTATGTGATTAGGTTTCAATTGTCAAAAATTACTGTGACCTTTATATGAATCTGTAAATATGTAAACAGAAACTGCACTGGGTGGCGGGGGCATACAACTAGTGCGGTAATTCTAGTTTTCTTTACATATAACATTTATAACACAAATGCACATTTTTTCTGCAATTATTTATTCCCTCAAGTGAGTTTTTCTAATCTGTGCATATTGGCAAACAAACCATGACAGGGAATGTCGAATAACTGCTGATGTGTTTTTCAACCAGTTGATGTTTCACTCGGGCTCTAGTGTGAAAGTCATATTTTATTTAAAGTGACAGTGTGTAGAATTTAATGACATGTACCAGTGAAGTTGCATGTTGCAGCTGAATACCCCTCACCTCGCCCTCCCATTCCAAACATGACAGAGAACCTGTGGAAACCTTCAGTTGTAATAAAAACTCTAAAGGTTTTTAGTTTGTCCAGTTTGGACGACTAAAAAATATGGCAGCCTCTATAGAGAGGACCCCCTGCGGTGTAAATATAAAGTGTTTCAATATGAAGGGCCCATTCTAGGGTAAAGAAAACAACAACTCTTACGATTTAGATGAAACACAACAGTGAAAACATTTCTAGGGTTATTTTACATAACATTTCTGCCAATAGATCCCGTTCACCTAAATCTTACACACTGGACCTTTAAAACCTCTCGGTTTTAGTTTAACCCAATTCTGATGGATAACTGCTGGACAGTGACTTAGATGCACAGTGTTCAGCAGTTGGAGACTTTAAAACCTTCAGTGACAGTTGAGGTTAATTTATAAAGACTATGGTGTATTACTTACTGTTGAATCCACGACCACTTATCATCCATGTGGTTTCTCCAGGTCAGTAATGAAAGCACCTATCAGGAGGTTGTTCGAGCCACGTGTGGGAAAGTCACAGGAGTCGTATGTGAGGTTGCAATCGCCGTCTACACCTTCGGCACTTGCATCGCTTTCTTTATTGTCATCGGGGACCAACTGGATCGCTGTAAGTATCACGATTCACCTGCCAGCCACCCTCAGCTTTTTTTAGTGCTGATTGTTCTTCCACCTACATTTGCCCCACGTTTATTTATTAAAGGGAGATGTCTGGTCGTAGTAGTGTTGATAAGCTTTTTAAAAAAGGCAGTGGCATCCTGGAAGAGGGCAAAGAGCATCAAGAATAACACCACTCAGCGTTGTCGCTCAGTAAATGTGTTGCTCATGTGATCCACTCATTTCCCTGCACTGAGATGCTGACGGTGTAGAAATCCTACTTCAGGCTGTTTCTGCAAACAGACTGTGACCTTCCACCTCTTTCTGTCTGTCTTTTGAAATGAATGAATGAAGTTGCTGTGACTTCCATTAAGCAAATCTCTGCCGCGTTGACAGCAGTTTGTAGATAATTCCCACTGTGGTGCTCTCAACTTTTCTCCGGCATACGGCCTCCCTCTCTTTTGGTCTGCATTATGTCCCATCTAGTAGACTCTACACGAGGAGCACGGCACAGGTTAAAATAAAATGATGTGATTGGTTGGGAGGAGAGGAAGATGAGTTTCCCTTTGCAGATGAACCACGCCATCTTGGGTCCTCTCATGCGAAGCCAATCTGCCGTAGTCCACCCATCACCGCCTCGTCGATCTGTTTGAATACATTCACACTGTCATACTTCAGGCTAACCCTCACAACATCCACCACAGAGAATGTACATCCACAGTCATAACAGTGCGTCCGTCTCAAAGGTTTTTGTAATTCTTGTTTCTGTTTTGCAGTGATTGTAGCTGTGGCTCATGACGACACTGGTCGCTTCTGGTACACTGACCGCAAGTTTACCATCGTTGTTACAGCAGTCTTTGTTATTCTTCCTCTGTCCATTCCCAAAGAGATTGGATTTCAGAAATACGCCAGGTACACTCTGCTTGATTTCTCACTGAGGATTCAAATCAGTTCATGTTTTCTTTACTCTTGAAGTGTGATGTGATCGCTCTTCTTTGCAGTGCGCTGAGTGTGATGGGAACATGGTATGTTACCATTGTGGTCATTATTAAGTACATCTGGCCAGATAAAGAGATTACTCCAGGATATGTTCCCACCAGGTGAGTCCCACGGTCACTTTTACACATTTGATCTTCATCTGTCGACTCTTCACACAGAAACATTGTGGCTTTGCTAAATCATTGTTTGTTACAGCTCTGCCTCCTGGACAGCAGTTTTCAATGCAATGCCCACCATATGCTTTGGTTTCCAGGTATTCTCCTCTTTTGGTGTAATCTGAGATCATATAAAGACGCCTATCTTAATATTTGATTATGATATTGATGGATTCTTTTTGTCTTATGCTCTTCCTGCTGATCTCTCTGCAGTGCCATGTCAGCTGTGTGCCGGTGTTCAACAGCATGAGAAAGAAGGACCTCAAACCTTGGGGAATTGTTGTCACGCTCAGCATGATAATCTGCCTCTTTGTTTACATAGGAACAGGTACTGTGTCAGTCAGTCGGTCAATGTGTGTACTTATAACACATTGTGCACTCATTAAAATGTCTATTAACTTTGTGACAGGCTGCAGAACGTTTCTCCACTCTGTTGATTCTCAGGATCTGATGTATAATAATCAATGTGTAACAGATCTTAAAGGTTCATCGTTTAAATGTCACTTTACATTAGGCATTGTGTAGCAGCATGTGTCTGGTGATTTGCTGTCAATACTTACGTTTGCTTTTTGTGTTTGATCAGGCGTCTGTGGCTTCCTGACGTTTGGCTCCAACGTCAGTCAGGATGTGTTGATGTCATATCCACCTAATGATATTGCTGTGGCCATTGCAAGAGCTTTTATTGTTATCTGTGTGATCACATCCTACCCCATTCTACACTTCTGTGGCAGGTAAGATACAGGACTAACTGTAGCAGCAGTGGGTCGGGGTAATTCTTCCTTGACTGATACATCAACTGTACGGAAGCATATTGCATTCTCTGCTCTGTTTTTCTGAATTAACAAGATTATTTTCTGTTTTCATGAGGAATAAAAATCTGCTCTGCTCTCAAAACTGTTTCAGAAAACACAAAATAATCTTAATTCAAAACATTGAATTTCTCCCTGTAAAAATGTCATTAGTTCAACATGTGTACTAATGTTGAACTAATGTTCTGTGTAACATTAATGTCAACATATACACAAAAACTTGTATATCTGAGCTCAGCTAATATCATCTAAATCTGCCAGGAGGATTTATCACTGTACTAACACTCTGAATCACTGAATCATTTTCAGTGTAGATACTGAACCTAATTAATGTATTTTAAATTAATGAAACCTATCCTCACTGCTCTCTTGTTTGGCTCCAGGGCCGTTATCGAAGGGCTTTGGCTGCGTTTCCAGGGCGAGCAGGTGGAAGTGTGCGTGCGACGCGAGCAGAGGAGGAGGATCCTGCAGACCCTGGTGTGGTTTGTACTCACCCTCGTCCTCGCCCTCTTCATCCCAGATATTGGTCGGGTGATCTCTCTGATCGGAGGACTGGCAGCCTGTTTTATCTTTGTCTTTCCAGGTAAAACTGCCTTTGATGACTTTGCTGCTGTTTCTCGTTTCTGCATTTAAATGTCAATGTCTTTATGCAACGTCTCTTGTACTTGGCAGGTTTGTGTTTGATGCAAGCCAAACTGTCAGAGACCGACAGCCGCACTGCCAGGTGAGATGCTGCTTATTCATTTCCACGATAGTGTACATGTTCCATAAGTGAATTTCGTGGCTTGGTGTTGCACTGTAGCTACACATAAGTAGTGAGCATGTGTGTGTAGCTGTAATTAGTCACTCTTGTGTATCATAGAAAGAATCAGCAGGGACTGGAATCACAGCATCTGTTTGTCTTAAAGCTCCTGAATTTTTTCTGATGTTTGTTGGATGTTTCCAAATTCTCAAAGACAAATTGTCAGAATAAAATAAAAAGAAAGATTTGACTTAAAACAAGGATTGGAGTAAAAATCTTAAAAAATCTATTAAACAATTTATTAAAATGTTTCCTCCCTTCCTCCACTTATCCAACTTTGGGAAAGTAGTCAGGCGAGTAGGGTATTCTGACGTCACTCTCCCAGCCATGCTTTCCAACTCTTCCTGGGGGATCCTGAGGCGTTCACATGCTTGTGGAGAGATTTGGTCCCTCCAGTGAGGTCTGGGTCTACCCCGGGGTCTCCTGGTTAGATGTGCTTAGAGAAGGGGATCTCCCCATTCTGTCTCAAAGAGATAAACATACGTGACCCTGAGATACTTAAACTCCTTCACATGGGGCAGCAACTAACCCCCAACCCTCGAGAGAGCTACCTGCCATGACTTTATATCACTTTTTTTATTTTTTGTGGTTTTCTTGAACTTATCTGTTTCAGTGTCAGAAATAAAAAAGTTGGAATAATGTTCTCAGACACTAATGCTCTTGTTTTCTTTTACAGCTGGCATGTATCGGTCGTCTTTGGTGTTGTCATGGTTACACTGGGCGCTTTCATCTTCGGCCTCACCACAACCAACTCCATCTATCAAGACGTCGTCAGCTAAGAGGAGCGTTCTTTATCGTCTTTGTCGTTGAATGGGGGGAGCGGTTAGTCCTGTGCTGCTAATATGAACTACTGGATAAGACGGAGAAGCATCTCATGACACTCATTTAAAAAAAAAAAAACATCATTACCACTGCGGCATGTCACATCCCTGCTCCACACACAGCTCTACGCTCAGTCAGGGAGCGGTCGAAAATACACCACACAACGCCAAGTTACTTCAGACACTTTGCCTTTTTAATTTCTCTTTTATTTAAATTGCATGTTTTATGCTTTTTATGGTGCTTTTAAGTTGCGGTGAAATGGCAGAGTCATTCCACGGGCTTTCCTGGAGTCTGGAGTCTGCATGGGCGATGCATTCCTGTTTACAAGAGCTGAAGGAATTTGTATAGAAGATCTTTTTTTTATGAGATTACAAATTTTTTTGTATATTGTAACTCTAAATCTTATCTTTCTTATCATTGAGAATTGACAGACGGTGGTTCCCATGTCTACACTTTATTGTCTCTGCTGATAATTGACCTATTTATCAAGACGTTTTTCTCTTTTTCAAGTGACAAATTGAACCGAGTGATGGGTTTGCACACACTAGGACACAACATGGTTGAGTGTTGTGTTAACTGCAGGGCTGATTGACTTGTTTACTTCCAGTTTTCAGGTTTTTATACTACATTAACTAATTCTATTACACATTAGAATAGATGCAGGGAGTCATTTTTCTTGGTTTCATGAAGATGAGATGTTGATTTTATAATTGGCTTTGAGGTTAAATCATGTTTAAGTTTGCAGAAGCACAAAGCTGCGATCATGAAGCCCGACAGGCCTCAAAAACAGAGTTGGTTATGTGTGCGAAACAGTAAAGTGTCAGACAGGCTGAAAACCACATGGTACCGTCCACAAGCAGCAGCACGTCCACACCAGGATGTGAAATCTCAAGTCTCTTCAAGGTGCAGGTTCCTGACAGCCGGGTTTTTAAAAGAATGTCTTTGTGAATGTAGGAAAGAGAAACCGGCAGGTTTCAGTTGGCACTTGTACCCACTGCAACTGATAGAGTTCAGGAGAAGACAAGTAGTTGGTTTGATCTACATCACTCAAGAATGTGATTCAAGCTCATGAATTATTTTTTTTGGCTAAAACCAAAGTGTGAACTTTATGTTGTTTGATGCGCCTCATCTATTCAAAACTAACACTGTTATGTGTTAAGATGTATTAAATTATTCCATGAAATTACTTTTTCAATCAAGTTGCAAATGAGTTTTAAGTTTATTTGACTGGAACAATCATTTAATCCTGGTTTTACATGTACTTCATTAACTTCAGGAATCCTCAGTTTGATCCATCATTTAAGATGGACAGCCTTTTTACCAGGTTTCAGTCAACTCAGCAATAAGGTGTTTAACCTTTAGATATGAGGGACAAATGGTAAAAGGGATTTTTTTTAGTACTATAAAAAGGGAAAGAAGCTGCAGTGTAAACATTAATGCTGTGTGGTACTTGAACAAAATGTTTGTAGCCTCTGTATTTGTTTTATTAAAATTTCTTCAAAGGTTTTAAATAGAACTTTTTAACCATTTGAGATTTTTACCATTTTCTTTCTCTCTCTGTCGTACATTTCCAAATTCTGTCAATGATTTACTGTTTTCAGGCTGGAAGAATGTTCAGCTTTTCTCTGAGGCATTGTAATAATTAGAAATCATGTGTCCCTGTCTCACACACAGCTGTGACTCTGTAAATATGTCATTCATTAGGAAAATATTTTAGGAACCTACGTATGATGCTCCAATAAATTCCAGTCGAAGCATGTGAATGAATCTGACAATCCATATGTTCAAAAATAACATTTAATAAAAAGACAAATGAAAAGTTACAGCTTTAATCACTTCAGCGTCGTTTGTTGAAAAGAATACTGTAGAAATTCTGTAGCTGTGAACATCCTCAGAACTCAATTTCCCCAATTGAATCATCTCAAAATCAAAAGTGATGCACAGTCAAATCAACACCACACGTGGTAAGATGTCCAAAAGCTGGATAAACTGCATTGAATATTGAAAATGATCAATGTTCCAACAGTTATTTTCCCTTTTAAATCATCTTCCCTGAGAAAGATCAACCATTCAAAAAGTGATGAGTGCAAAACATGTTTAGTTGAAATCATTTTAAACCCCGAGATGAGAGAAACACTTTTCTGTTTCAGAAACCGATCGTTTAAACTGAGTCAGTTACAGCATTCAACAGTTTCTCCCAGTCGCCCCCTGCTGGGCTTGGAGAAGCAGTTTGATAATTTGCTGTTTGCTCAGTAAACAGTTGATATCAGAGCGCATTCATTTGAAGGTTTATGTTGGAAAAGATTCAAATCCCTTCTGGATAGTTTTGTTACCCAGTGGAGCAAGATTTTTTAAATGCAAAATAAACATCTTTAGACTCAGTCAGTTTGAACCTCAGGCTGTCAGACTGAGGTTACAGTCAGATCTATAAAACTGTTTGATCTACATTTTAATCTTTTGCCGCCATCATGTAACATGTGATTACATATTTTTAAACATTTAATCCTACAGTTTTATAAACCATTAAGGAAATTACAATCTGATAAATAATGCAGTTTTATTATTACATACATAAGCCTAGCCAGCTCTGCTCTTTTATTTACCCATTTAATCACAATGTCAGAGCTCCACTGATGATGGCGTTTTATCCCCATTCACCAGGCTCACACTCGGATCAGTTATTCTGGATCAACAGAAAACTCACTGCTCATCTCAGGGTTCAGTTTGTCTGAAGCGGGCCACAGGTGTTCATATACACACACATGCATACATACATACATATACAGGCTCAGTAGGGGCCATTTGTTATGAAGGACTGGAACATATGAAAAGCTGGACCTGGAGCCCACTGAGGAACCATGTGACCGGCACCCTGAAACACAGGAAGACAGTCTTTCACAATCATGGCACCACATCACCATGCTTCACATGCAGACACTCAACACACAGGTGGTTACCTTGACTGTGAGGAAGGTTATGTTTCCATACTGTTGGTAGAATCCTGCAATCTGGTCATCATGAATCCAGCTCTGGTACTTTGTGGTCGCCTGAGAACATTTAATAATGTTAGATAGTGTATCTGGTTGCAGTTCTGGATGGAAAAGCCGTATTTAAACAGGTTCTATCCCAACCTTTATGCCGAGATCTTCCACAAACCACTGGTCTCCCAGGAAGTTACAGGCCATGTCAGTGTCTCCGTTGTAGACGAGCGCCCGCAGGCCCATAGACAGAAGCTTCAGATATACATCCTTCATTGTTTGGTACTGGGTGGTGTAATTCCCTCCAACATCATCACTGTAATGTAGAGTTCATCATCAGCATGTCACCGTGCGCCAACCTGACTGCACGTACACAGGACGGTTACAGAAGACCGTCAACACAAAGTCCAGACTGTAACAGGCTGGACTTTGATCCTTCATGTGTTCAAAACAGAGAGGGGAGATGTAGCGTGTACGTTCAGTTATATTACATCCAAATTAAATCTGTTGGGATGGTTTATTTTTAGCCTGTTTATAAAAGATGGACGACGCATGTCCAACTCCTCCCACTACCCACAAATTAATGAAAAATATCCTGTAGACAAATGTTTCCATCTTATGCATTTGGAGCGAGAGTCTACATAGGAGGGTTAGTAAAGTCCCCTGATACATGGCAAACCACGCGTCAGTCTCAGCTGTCAATCATGACATTTCAACCTGTTTTTTATAGAATCAAATTAGGAACTAAAACCAAATCTATCAGAAGCAGAAAAAAAAAAAAATTGGACATCGACTTTACAATGTTGTCTTCAGTTTGGTCTATGTCCCATTCACTAACTGTTTTATACAGGTCAAGCAAATACTAACTTTACAATCGGATGACAGAACACAGGTATTTGGATTTCTGTAGGTGGTAAGAGGAGATCTGATGTAATTTATTGTGATACAGGTAGGACACAGCTCGTGGAATCAGTTAACTGTAATGAATTCACAGACTACAAGACGTACTGAATGTAGCTCATTTAATTCTAACCATTTCACTGCAACATACCTGCAGATGTCCCATGGTGGCAACATATCAGGAATGTGTAGAGCCTTCCTCACGTCACCCCTGTTCAGCCAGTTCATCTGAGCTGTGCTATTTATGCAGGGAGGAACTTCACCCAAGGACACGGAAGAGGGCCCTCTGTTTAAAAACTACATTACAACAAAGTTTAGCAATAACACAAGACAATAAGAACGTTAAGCAGAGGGTAAACCGCTCACTTTGTGGCTCTGCTGTGGTTTCCTGTAGTTCTTAAACAGATGAGTCATGGTCCTCTCGTAGCCTCTGTGGAATCTGCTGTGACCCTCACAGTCCAAGTAGAGGGCGTACGCATTCAGTCCACTTTCATACACAGTATCGAAGGCCTCATACACCTGAAGGAGACGAGGAAGGAGTGAAATTTGAGTAGAGCGACACTAGAAAATCCAAGTTAGATTCCTGTAGAAATAGTGCACATGTTACCAGCTCCTTGCAGTCCTCGGACGTGGAGTTGTAAAAGTTACAGGTCCCCTTCTCACAGCAGTTTTTGTTCAGATCATGCCACAAACTGCACAGAAAATACAGTAAAATCTCTGCATCCACTAAATGTGACTTACACACATTTACCTTGATCTAAAACTTGCCACTCAAACCGCCCTATGTTATTTCAGTTTTAGAACAAAAGACATTTTAGATTTTGTTTAATTTGGTGGTATTAAGGAAAACAAATGCTCCAATCCCATAACAACTAAACATAACACCGTATTTTACTGTGTGTATTGTATTCTTGCTATGCAGGACAAAGTAGTAAAGAAATTCAGATTCTTAAACTCAAATGTTGACCAACAGATGGAGTCTTTAGATAACAGCCAGTCTCTCCATCTTACATATAGAAGTAATTTAAGGTCAAAAGCCACATCCAACATTACATTAGACTTAACAATGACCCATATTTCATTTCCTCCGATACCTCACATCTCCCATGTTCTAAGCACAAAAACAAGGCTTAAATATTTGTACAGTATTCCTGATAGTAAAAAGGAAACAAGCCTCCTCTACAATGTGCCACTTACTCTTCTCCAAAGAGGCCGTGGTAGTAACCAAAGTAGATCAAAGTTTGGTCATTGAGCGCAAAGCTGCTGATTCCGTTTCCCACTGCGAAGCCCTGGAAACAGGTCAGAGAAATGTCAGAAAGTTTTACCCGACTGAAAGTAAACTTAACTTAGTTCCTCTGAAGGGCAGAGTTTCCATCATCAAACTGTATTGTGGAAGCAGTACTGACAGTGAGCAGCTGATCGCGCTGGTGAGAACTAACAAACACTCACCTTGAAGTTAAACTTAGCAGGTCCTGTAGCCACGAGCAGGCTGAGGGTTGGTGCATAGATTCCACCGTAACTTTCTCCAAAGATGAAGAATTCATTTTGTGTGAAATTCGGGAACTTGTTAAAAAAGCTCTGCAGGGCTGCATAGTTGTCAGCAGCAACCTAAGAGAAGAACATATGAATCTTTTTCTTATCCAGTTTGTTCTGATCGTTTTTTTCTTCTTAAATCTTGAAAGAACTCACCTGGTTGTCATTGGTTTTGTAATTGAGGTCATCAGAGTAGGAATAGCCCACCCCTGCTGGAGATTCTAGATACAGCACGTTGGCGATCTTGTTCCAGCTGAATTTGTTCTCATACAGTGTGGCCCCATTATCGTTCACCTGAAAAGTTCAAATTCAACAGTGCAGATTCAGATTGACATTACATTCAGAGCACAGGCATATACTTATGCACACAGTGGGCATTCTCACATGGAACGGTCCATTCTCTGACAGGAATCCATCCAGTGAGCTGCAGCCTGGGCCTCCATTCAGCCAGAGCACCAGAGGGTCCTTGAGCGGGTCGCTCTGAGAGGTCACAAACCTGCAGGGGATCAGGACCAGGGTTAGAGGCCGACTGCACCATCGAGCTGTATACTAAAGTTTGAGTCCTGACTTTTGCACATACAATGACTGTTTCTATCTCTTTAACTTCATTGTTTTGTTTAATTTTCACAACTCAGCTGAATGGACAGACATATGTACAACTTCCCCCCACATGAAAAAACAACTTCCGCCTTTTACAATATTACTCCTGACACACTGCAAAGATGCGTGCAAGGATTCACAATTTTTTAACATGACATTATGCTACAAGGGGAATATTTCTGTCAGAGAAGATAAAATCCTAGTGTGTGTTGCTAATGAGGGGAGTAGGATAATAGCCCAGGTCATTTCACTGCTATAGTTCACATCCTCAGGAGCTACATGGGGACGATGTTATGAATTACTACGGTTTGTCAGAGGGGTTACTGACAAACCGTTAAAACTAGTTCTGTGCGTTTACTTTAACTGAAGAGCACCTGCTGTGCTGCAGCGACCCCCCTCCCCCTCCCCCTCTCCAGGTGTGTTGACATGAAGAGACGTGATCGTTGAGGTGTGAGGTCAAAATAACCAGGACAAACATACACGCATGTGTTTTTCATGCTTCTTACCAGTAATGGAGAAACCTCCCCGGTCCTGCTCGCAGGTACCCGGACCACTGTCGGTAGTTGGGCTTGAACATCATACCCGGCAGATGTGTCGTCTCGTCCGGGACGTACTGAGCCCGGGAGCCGAGCTGCAGCACGGCGAGCGACCACAGCAGCAGCAGCCCGCAGGACATCATCAGCGAACCGACAGCAGCAGCTACCGACGGTGGAAACAAGCAGAGAGGGTTCACGAGAGAACACGAAGTTAGATCAGGAGCAGAGATTCAACTTCCTCCTCCGTCCTGCGCCGCAGCTCCGCGTGCCAGTCATATGACTGCTGCTGAGGGTCACGTGACCAGCGTTAGGGCAGACTCCGCACTTTTTATATCCAGTCCCTAAACACAGATTCCGCCCCCTGATTCCAGCCAATCACCACGCTCCCTTTCTTTAAGTGGCTCAATCCTAACCCAATCAGAGGGTGCAGAGAGGCGGGACTTCGCTCAGCTCGGGTGGTTAAAAAGTAAGTTTCAAAAGCTAGTGAGAAATATTTTGATTGTGATCAGTTTGAAATGTGGAACCCAGAAACTCTGAAAGAGCACATTTAGCTCCTCACAGTGACAGGGAGCAAACCAGACTCATCATAAAGAGGCTTATTATAGGCAGAGTTAATGAAAATAACTATGATAAAGACATTGCAGGTAATATAGACATGAAATATATTTAGATTTATTAAACGTTTGGAGACAAATAAAATGTTGTTGGTTTGAAACGACCTAAAGCAAATACAACCTCTGCAGGCAAACATATTTAACATTTGCCTTTCTTCCATTGTTTTTTTTTCTTTCATACATTTATAACGAATAGTGATTTTGACATGCAAATATCAATATATAGTTGTAAAGCCTCAGAACTTTACATTTACTTATTAGGCTTTAAAAGTGAATCAATCAATTCAATAACTGCTACTGTGAAATGCCTGATGAGGATGAATTCTCTGAATCTTCAAACCATTCAACTATGGATCTAAACATGGACGCCTCTGAGCAACTGACTCATAATGTGTCATGAGGAAGGATATGCTATAAAAAGGTTTATACAGTACATGCTTCTAGTTTCCACTGTCTGAAATGACCATGAAAGGGAACTGTGGAAGTAAAGACAAGAACTGGATCAGACAGAAACTTTAGCCCTTACCTCATCACAAAGGTCAATACCATAGACTGTATACTCTACTTATGCATATGGATAAGAAATAGTAGTTTTTGTGTGTTGGAATCAAAAAATTAAAGTTTTTGGCAACAAAACCACCCAGCAAACATTTGATTGAAAGAAAAGCTTGCCAGGCTGTCAGCTGTTAAGCATGGTGCTTTGGGGTTGTGTGGCAGCTCCTGACTCAGGAAATATTGCACATATAGAGGGGAGAATGAATTCTAGTGATTATCAACACATCTCATGCAAACTGTGTGTAAGATAGTGTGAACATATCTCAGAGGATCCTCAAGCAGCCACATGGAACTTAGCCATCATTAAGATTTACAAATTAAAACAAACCACAAAGACATGCAGGTATATCCAGTTTTTATTCATTTTATATATATATATATATATATATATATTTGGCACAGTGGTGAAAATAGAGACAAATAGGGCACAGTGATGCTTTTTATTCCCTGTGAGGTTTATTCACACTGTGTGTGTGTTCGAGTTCTCTTAAATTGGAAATAACACACATAATGTTTTTAGCTTAAGTTAAAAGAGTCAGTGAAGCTGAATAAAGAAATTAGCGATGTAAAGTGTTATTTCAAAAAGGAATATCGACATAGTCTGCTAGCACCGGATGTGACGTCGTGAGGTTGGTTGGCGTTCAAGTCCTGAATTGGTGAACTACTTAGAAAACATGGAGCTCCAAACTACAAATCGAGTCAAGGGGGGTCATTTCTGTATTGCTCCTGGAGGCAGTAAAGAATTTTACAGAGTTAAAAACCGAGGGAAGATCGTCCACTTTCATGTTTAACAATCAAGCGGGAAGTGGTTCTTCGTCGTTGGTTAGCGGCAATGAAATCCTCCAGGTAGCCGTGATGCTAGGGTTTGTAGTGAGCACTTCATAGAAGAAGACTGTGCAGGAGAGGGTCTTTGAGGCAGACGTGTTGGTGGCTCGTCGGTCCGTCGTGCTAGCAAAGACGCAGCTGCACGCCGCAGGGAACGAGCCCAGCGGGTCACACACCTGGCAGAGCAGAGAGAGGTAGAAAGACAGCTCACACAGGAAACACTGACAGGGTTGAGCTTCTGAACTTCCGGTTGTGTGAGGCGGGTGCGACGCAGCTGATTCAAACAACAGAGAGCGACTGTGTTTGTTTAGTTTGTGTCCCGCAGAGAAGGATCATGGAGCCTGATGAGGAGGCCGCCGCCGCCATGTCCGACCAGGCCTCTGGATGCCCCGGTCGAGTGAAGAGCCTCCATGTGCTCACCACCAAGTTTGTGGAGTTAATGCAACAATCTGAGGGAGGACTGCTGGACCTCAGAGATGTACGTGTACGTGTGTGTGTGTGTGTGTGCGTGTGTGTGAGAGAGAGAGATTGAGATAGACAGAGAGGGTGTGTATGTGAGTGACTGAGAGAGACAGAGTGTAAGAGGGTGTGTATGTGAGAGAGAGAGTGTGTAAGAAAGTTAGTGTGTGTGTGTTAATTTTTATCCAAAACCCAGTCCTATTGGTCCTAATGAGGCAAAATATGTGAGCTCCTGGTTAAGGTTGGAGATAGGATGTGAATAGTGTTCAGGATAAGTTCAGAGTTAGGTATGAATTAGTCATGGTTAAGCTTAGGGATATGTTTTTTTGTTAGGCTTTCCACAGTGAATGCAAAGGGCTAACAAGGACAGTTGTCTAAACCTATGTGTGTATTTGTGCTTTCACTGCAGCTGAGGACGTTTAACGTCAGATTAGATGACAGTAAGTACGGCGCCAATATTGTAGCAACATGATTTATCAACACATTCACAGATCTATGCACGTTTTTTGCAGATTTGTCTACACATGTGTGCAAATCTCACCACAAATTTGGTCGTTCTTTTACACACATTTACAAATCTGATCACACACACACAGACAAATAATATTGCTACAATATTGGCCCCATAAGAAGGGCTCTTTATCTTGACTGAGACTGCACACATGAAACCAATGAATTAGAGTTACCCTTAAAAACCATTAAACCTGCAGCGATCCTTACCAGCAGAAAATCAATGATATAATTGAAAAGAATTCTAAAAGTTTCTTTTATTATTGTCTTCCAAGTTTCACATATTTCATTTTTGCTTTTGTTGTTTTTCAGTTGTGTTATTGTGAAGACAAATTATTAAAATGGCCATTGATAAATAATGTTTAGAGGCCCCAGACTGTTTCAGACCCCATTGTACAAACATCCAGTTGTACACCATACATACCCTTTAAATAAACATCAACTCATAACAATATAAAAATCCTGCATTGAGGAATAAAAACTCTTATAGGATGAGGCCGAAGAAATCGTGGTGAATGAGGGTCTTTTTGCTCTTTCAGGCTATCGGGCTCATGGCTATCGGACAGAAAAGGCGAATATATGACATCATAAATGTGTTGGAGGGCATTGGACTCATTAGGAGGATGTCCAAGCGCATTGTAAAGTGGATGTAAGTTTTTAACCCTGCCTTGTGCATGGATTTGGTTATGCAATGTGTCAAGAATGTTGAGCCAAATGCATTTCACAAAAAAAATACACATGCATTCTTTGAATCAGCGGTACGATGCCAGAACAGAATGATCTCCAGTTAAACCACAGACTGACACAGTTAAAGTTGGAGGTGAGGGACCTGGAGCAGATGGAGTTTATGTTGGATCTGCAGAGACTGTGGGTCGAACAGAGCATCAGAAACATGACAGAAGACTGCAGCAAATATCCTTTTCATGCCTCTTTAATCTAGAATGCATTGATTTTGTTATTTCATGTTATTAATCTACCTCTATCTACAAAATATCTAACAAAGTTTGGAGAAATGAAAGTATTTGTAAGTGTAAATAAGATGTTGAATAATCTTGTGATCAGATTTAATGCAAGTGGTTTATCTAAGGCACAAAATGCATCATTTAGCAAATCTATTCATTATTATGGTAACGGTCTTCTATCAAAATATGGTTCTCTGTCACACAGCAACTAGCTCTGCGAACTATCACGGTGTTTTCATATTGAACCTTAATTCCGACCAACTCTGACTTATGTGAATCACGAAGATATCTGCAACTGCTTCAGTGGTAACGTATCATCACTCACTTTCTCAATTGTATCTCTTGTGTACATGTTTGCGTCAGCGGCATAATATTGATATAGTCAAAATGGAAACAGTTTCACTCTAGAGAGGAAACCTTTTGAGTCAGTGCAGTGAAAAACACACACTTTCTTTTTGCAGAACATAAAAGCCATCTCTGCTGCTGTTGCGTTGCATTGATGGGGTTTTCTGTTGTAAAACTAAGATGGAAGAATAATAAAAAACAATGTTAAAAAAAACCCACAGGCATTTAGATACTTTCCATAAAGTCAGTGTATGATGAAATCCAAGTTATACTCTTATTTGTAATGATTTTTTTCACTGGGTTTATGCCAGCCATGAAAGACCGCACTGCAGCATAGAATCAGCCTTCACACAGTTACACAAACATTTATGTATACATCTCTACAGTGCTTGCACCACCACGACAGCTGACAGTCTCTTGTTTTTCAGTGGACTCCAAAGTAATTTTTGACTTTTCAGTGTGTCATGTCTCATCAGGTCACACACTCCTGGCCGTACGAGCACCGCCTGGCACACAGTTAGACGTTCCCATACCCAAAGCTGTAAGTCCTGCATCACTGGAACCCACTGTAGCCTACTGTCTTTGTTTTCTTGCTGCCTTTACCTCAGGTGGGATGACTTGGTGTGTGCGTATATCTTCTTTCAGACCCAGAACAGTCCAGCAAAGTACCAGATCCATATGAAAAGCATCAGTGGACCCATAGATGTCGTACTCCTTAACAGACTATCTGCTGGCTCTGCTCCTGTTGTACTGCCGGTCCCGCCGCCAGAAGAAATTTTACGGAATGCCAAAATAGCAATGTCCTCACATGTGACAGAAAGCAGTGCAAAATCAAGACAGGCGGCCATAGAGGACATGCAGCATCATCATGCATCTCCGCTTATTAACACTGAGCTCAACAGAATGCGTTCACCTTTATGTGAGTATTTTAGCTTCTGCAGCTTCTGTCAGTGTTTCTGTTGATAGGCCACTGAAAGAGAAATCTAATACTTGATTTGAGCTTGGACTCGACCCTGTGCCGTATGGATCCAAAGTCTCTGTCGGAGAGAAAAAAATCTTAGCTTTGAACTTCAGAGGCAGGATAAACAAAGTGATATCACATATTCTTTCACATTTACTCTGTTTTCTTTGGAAAAAGAAGAAAGAGTGGAAGAATGGAGGTTACATTTATCATTGCCTCAAGGGGGTTATGCTTTCTTCAGCATTCTTTTTTTTGTTGTTGAGCAGGATTGTAAAAGAACTGCTGAACCGACTTCAATCATTTTATTGAGGGGTGAAGAAACAATAACATTTTAGAGCTGATCCCAATAAATCAGCAGTCTAAAAAAAATGCCTTCACTTTCTTTAACATGGCACATAGGGCATTAGCCTTGGTGAGTGCCCTTATAGTTTTAGACTGTGACTGGAATCAGGTAATTGCACAGTATAAAGTGACTGCAGTGACGATCACATACATTTTTAAAAATCTTGTTTCCAGTGCGAAATCTATCAAAGGAACTGAGGGACCTACTAGACCCATCCAAAGGTAAAGCTCTTGTTGTTGAAGTGAAGCTGACTTATTGATGTTCACTACATTTTAAATCCATTTGACTGAATATAAGTTTATGATTAACTGTCTCCTCCCTCATTTGTTTGTAGAAATAATGAATACTCAAATAATCACAAAGCTTGTGACCTCTGAAGGTAAGTCCACTTTTTTTTCAGTCTGTCGTGTCGATCTCCTATCAGTAGTTAAAGAGTTTTCCCATTAATCATGTGTATATCTCCGCTCCTCAGTTATTTCTTCACTCTTCCGAGCACCACCCCCGCCACCAGCTGAGCGTGAAAACCTGTATAATCTGGATGGAAGTGAAAACCTATTTGACCTCTACTCAATGTTTGACCATAAACTGTTGTAATAAGACTTCAAAGTTAAAGTCGAAAAGAGCAGTCTGTTTTTAAATAGTTACTTGATTTTACAAATAATAAACAAATGATTTTGAATATGGTGTCTAATTTATGCATATTTATATACACCTCATGGTGGCGCAAGAGAACTATGGAAACTGAATGCCTGAGGACAGTGTCAACATCCCCCATCCAGTAGATATTTCTGTCTGGACCAAAGTGTGATTAAATCTAATTTAGCAGTAAACCTATGTTTACTTGTGGTTGCCATTTGTTTGGTATACTCAAAAATACACCTTTTTCTTAAATTTAACACTGTCAGCAATTACAACTCCTCCAATCAAGACATATTGTATTCTTAAAACACTGATTCATTATTGTTTTTTTACCAAATCTCCACTTACTGTTGCCCACAGGAGGAGTTAGAAATATAATAAACACTTAATTGATAATTTATTAACCCACGTTCTTGGATATAAAATCTTACTGAAAAATATAGTACAGAAGAGTATTCTACATAAATATACACACACATTATTATAAAGACCATCCTTATGAATGATTATTATACTGATCATAATTGTGGAGCCTGGTGACAATTCAACTACTTTCTCCATCTCCATTTCTTTCTTTCTATCTATCTACATTTCTTTTTATCTATCTGGTTACATTTCTTTCTTTCCATCTATCTACCTATCTACATTTCTTTCTTTCCATCTATCTACCTATCTACATTTCTATCTATATATCCATCTACCTATCTACATTTCTTTCTTTCCATCTATCTACCTATCTACATTTCTATCTATATATCCATCTACCTATCTACATTCTTTCCATCTATATATCTACATTTCTGTCTTTCTATCTATCTATCTGTATCTATCTACATTTCTTTCTATCTACCTATCTACATTTTTTTCTTTCTATCTATCTATATTTCTGTATTTCTATCTATCTATCTGTATCTATCTACATTTCTATCTCTCTAGTTGTATTTACAGTACTCGGGTAAATGCATAGTTACTTCCGATCCATGTTGCTATGACAACAGACCCCAACAAGTGTTTCCATGGCGACACATTGGCGGTACACAGTTTCCAGGCTCGAGACAGAAGTGATCTGTGCTGTAGGATACCATGGTGAGATCAAAGTCATTCATTACAGCCTTATAACAACAGCCTACAACAACACTGGTTAGCTACCTAGCGGCTAACGCTCGGGTGTTGTGTTGGACTAGCGTCTTAGCAGCAGTGTTAGACTGAATACCTGTGTTACTATAGAGAGGATGAGGGTTTAACCTTGTTTCCTGTCTTGTGTTAACTTCTGTCCAGCCTCCGAAAAACAAAGACTCGAGTAAAAAGCCTGCAAAGACCAGGACACCCACTCTGATAGATGGACTCACCAAGGAGGAGCTGTCCAAGGAGCAGGTCAGAGTGACACCTCTCACACCAGGAGCCGGAAGTGTCCTGCTCCATGTGACCTGTTCTGTCAGAGGGGATCCCCACAATGTGACCCCTGTGACAGTGTCCGCAAGCCCCGACATTCATATTCGACTCTAAAGGGCGTCATCAGAGGACATTTAGTCTTTAACACAGTGACATCGTTTCACCACACCAGCAGTATGGAGGCATGTTGAAGAGGGGTCACATTGGACTTAACACGTTTTTTGTGAACTCAAACACTTCACTCACCTCTCCATAGGCCTAGTGGCGTGTAGATAATGAGTGAATTTTCCTTTTTGGGTGAACTATCCCTTTAAGACGTTGCACTAACACAATAGAGGATGTAAGTCCCTGAAAGACACAAAAACCTGTGCAGCGTGTTTCTCTGCAGGAGAGCAACAGGTGATCATAGATCTCTGTGAAGAATTCAAACTCATATTGGTTTGACATGGGTTGTTATAGTAATTACAAGTGACTAGAAATTGTCTGGATCAGATATACTGTGATATAAAATATATTTCTGTGTATTTCAGATGGAAGAACACATTGTGCGCCTTCGAGAGGAGCTGGATCGAGAGAGGGAGGAGCGAAACTACTTTCAGCTGGAGAGGGACACGATTCAAACCTTCTCGGGGAACACACAGAGAGAGCTACAGGAAGTGACGGCTGAATTGAAACACCTAGAAAAGGACACTGAAGAAGATGAGAGGCGCCACCAAGTAGAGATCAAGGTGACGGAGTGTTTGAAATACTGTAAAAATACTGAAAGGTTCAATATCCTTAACACACAAGAAGCCTTTTGGGGCTTTTTTTTCTGCTGTCAGATCAGTTCAAGGATCACATGCAAAATGAGAATGAAACAACGCTCTCTCCAACTCTTTCCGTTTTAAAGCTTTACAGACAATAACATATTATCATCCATTGCAAAGAGACAAATCTTTTGTTATTTTCATTAAAAGAAAGGATTATGGAGATATACTGATCCTTTCATGAGCTCCTCACTGGGGAAATGTAAAATCAAAGCCGCTGAATATTTGATCTTTGCTTGTGTGAGAGGAGGATTTAAAGCAAGCTGAAAAGCCCCGTTGAAACAGAGCTACAGAATGGTATTGCGTGGGATCCAACAGGTTTGTGACAGCACAGCCTGATAGCAGCAACAAGTGACAGGTAAAAAAAAAAAAAACATTTTATATTCAAATGTTTTGTTCTCCCCACTAGGTGTTTAACCAGAAGATGAAGCACCTGCTTTGTGAACACCAGAACACGATCTCTGAGTTGAGAGCAAATGGTTTAGCCTCGACTGAGATGCAGCACAAAGAGCAAAATAAATTAGAGACTGAGCTTCATAAGAGAATTAAGGCCATGAAGGTCGAGATGGAGGAGATTAATGTTGACAACCTCGTCAAGGAGCTTGAGCTGGTTTGTAATACACACCAAGTCTACATGGTTTCTAAACTTCAACATGAGTGGATTCAGCTTTTTACTTTTGCCTCGATGTATTCCCTTCAAATACCTGTGTGGTTGTTGTCTCATCAGAAACATGCCGAAGAGATGAGTAAATTGAGGGACATATTGGAGAAGCAGCTTACAGGTAAACTAGAGTCACACTCAGCAGAGAGCATACCTCCGCCAAGGCCTAATAGTCGCCCTATATTCAATCAAGCTGCACTATATTGCACACACTCGTCAATATCAGTCCCCTAAATATGTCTGTTTTTATCATCAAGATCCATGAATTATTAATATCAAAGAAAGGGGAAAAAAACTCCAAGAATCCGCCCCTTTGTCTGGATCCACGCCAAAATTGAGCAGGTTGTTTGTGTGTGCGCTGCCAAGAACTAAATGGGAGCCATCATCTTGTGTCACTTTTTGAATAGAAACTGAAGCTGTGTATGAGGAAAAGATGACGCTTCTGCTGCAAGAGCTGGACAACATGAGGAAAAATGAGATCAGTGAGAGAGAAGATCAGTGGAACAGCCACGTCGATGGTCTCATATCAGACCACAACAAAGCTCTCAGTGAAGCTAGTGAGCTGGTTCAAGACTTACAACAGGTTCTGGAGGAGAATCATTCACTCAAGGTACAAGTTCACACACTCAGACTCTCAGAATCAAAACAAAGAAATGTCTGATGTTTCGTTTGGTCCTGCAACTGACGATTCTTTTCATTATTAATGATTCGGTTGATTATTAATTCTTTTGTCTATAAAAGGAGTGAAAAATGGTAAAAATGACCAGAGGCTCATCTTGACTGATCAATTTAACAACTGTTATTTTATCTTTTGGATTTCTCTTAATTGTCGCAGCACATTTTATTTTCACAGTTATGTTTTTCCTCATCTTTTATTTTACTTTTTTTAGACACAAATGAAAGAAATGAAGACGAAACAGCAGCAGGAGGAAAAGGACCTGATCCTTGTTTTGCGCGATAACAAACGTCTTGCTGAGCATCTTTCGAAAGCTAAAGAGGAAATCGTTGAAATGGAGAAAAAAATGAAACACGGGAGAATGGAAAAGGTTCTATTTCCTTTTTTAAACTGAGATAACAATTCTGACCTCTATACTTATATTTGTTGCTACCTGCTTATTTGCTGAGCATGTGCTTTAGTCACTGACGTGTAGCATACTGTACATTTTAAGCACTGTACTATTTATGACAGGACACCAAAGAAAAGATCATAGAAAAGAAGATGAATGATCTGAAACAGGATCAAAAGACGCTGAAAGAGAAATTCGACAAGGTAAAAGTTAAGATTGAGCTGCACGGTGTCATGCTGCTCAAATGTTTGCTTAATTTGTCTGCACTTTGGATGTTAGCCAGATGTTTAAGTGAGCGTTTTTGCGTCTGCGTGTCGTGTGTGTATGTGCATGTCGCACAGCTTCAGCTTGAGAGGGACGAGCTGTGCAAGACGCACTCTCAGTCTATTCAGAGGGTGCAGCATAAAACAGATCTGAAGAACATGCAGCTGGAGAGGAATCTGAAAGCTCTCACAGACAGTCTGGAGAAGACAAACGCTCAGCTCCAGTCTGTGCTCTCTGCCTCTAACATGGACCACACAGCCCTGTGTGAGCTCATCAACAACATTGAGGTAACTGTTTATGTATATCTACCTTACTCCCCTGCAATCACTTTTATTCTTTGTTGATGATTACATTTTTTGTGCTGTTTGCACATGAAAGGAATTTTTATATAATCTATTTTTCACTTGTAGGAAAACCTTGATTCCAACAATAATACCATCAAGATCTTACAATTTAAAAAAGATCAGATTTCCAAGGTTAGTGATTCATTTACACATTTGTTTAAACAATTATGATATTTAACAGTTTTTCTACTGAAATTCATACTTTTGGTCCTGGCAGGCTCGTGAGGATTTGCTGCTTTACTACAAGGCCAAGCAAAGGGCTCTTGATGTCCCAGTGGAGGAGCTTCATGCTGAGCCCTTTGAGAGCAGTCGTGCTGGAGAAAGTCAAGGACGGGTCTTAGATCTTCGCTTTGCCCAGAAGTGATTAAACACATTTTAGATAAAAACACCATCAGCAAAGCTTTGATGCAGGGACTGTTTTCTCAAAGTAAAGCTGCTTAATTTGAAAAAACATATTAATTTTTTTCAAAAAAAGGTTATTGTAGCTTTAATAAGCAACACGTTGCTATTTCATTAAAAAATAAAAAACTTGAAACAGGGTTAGAATCATGAAAATGTGATCAGGACATCTACTTTTAACTCACCTCTTTCACTTTCTAACCAGGAATGTTAAATAACAGTCACTTCATAATGAGAATTAGATTTATGGGCGTTCTGAGCACCTAGAGACCTGGACCCATGCCAGGTAGGGCTGCTCATTAATCCAGTGATGCATGGAGAGGGATGAAGTTTTGTACAAAGAAGAAGTTGAAAGGAGCCAAACTGTGGTGCACTGAGCTTGATACCTCACAGCAAGTCTGCATGTTCTCCAAGTGTCTGCGTGTACCACCTCCGGGTGCCCAGGCAGTCTCCAAGACTTGATCAGATTGTTAGGTTGATTGGCAGTATATTGATTGATTGAGAGTAGATCCTGGCGGCAAGTGAAGTTTTGTCTTATGATAAACCTGACCCCAACTTTACACTAACTCAAGCCAGGGAGCTCTGCTTACTACTGAGCCTTGGAGTCTAGTATCTAGTAACAGTACTTTATTATTGCTGCACGATGCCATTTTGTTTCTATTGTGTAAAGTCAAGTCTTTCACACCGATTTAAACTTAAATCAGTGTAAAAGCATTGAGAGCTTTTTTCAACTAAACAAAATGTCAAAAAGATGTTCCACCCTCTATTTGTACATGCTAAATTCACTTCAGTCTCTTTAAGGTTTTTTCCAGTTTTTTCTCTGTAAAGCAGAATGGGACTTTCTCTTTAAACATTTGTGATGTATTTGCCTAATTAATTTTGTTGAATAAAGAAAAGATAAATAACAATTAAAGACAAAGTGCTATGCTGCTTAATTAACTATAAGTCACTAATGGTAATCTATTTTAAGATATGACAGGAGGAACCCTTTCACTGATGCAATGATTTAGTTTTATTTAGGTCATTTTTAGTGACAGGTAAACAAAAATATTCCAGATACAAAATCTACCGTCTCCCATAGTCTTGCACGGTAGTGATCGGGGGAGCAAGCCACGGTCCCTCTGATACACACATTTGACATATGTGAGTCAGTCTCAGCTGTCAATCACCTTTTTTATATGTCATCAAATAACAAATAATGTAATAAGAGCAACCTTAAATGACAGAAACCATGTTTCAGAAATATGTATGTTTTGTTTAGTCATGTCCAGTCCAATAACATAGAGGTAGCTGGATTTGACCTATACTGCAGCAAGCCACCAGGTGGTGCTCAAGATGCTTTGGCTTCACTTTTTGGGAGGCTCATGTTTATCCATATACAGTCTGGTTTATAGTTTCAAGGACATGATGCATGTTGTGTAAAACCTTCAGTGGGCAGTTTGTTTAACAGTTAAAGTCCTTTATCATTCTGCTCTGGACACCAAGAGTGTCAAAGCTCTGTCTCAACTTTATGTGATACAAAAAAAGGAATATAAAAATAGTAACCAACCAGTCAAAAGGCAGGAAATATGGTCATGATCTCATAACATCTATTCATTTGTCTGAAATGTTTAGTTAGCACCTTAATTATTGAGTTATGGCCGAAAACATTTCTTTTAATGAGAGAGGATTGACCTTAATTGTCCTCAACTCACCGAAATCGAATCAGTTAATCTTTGAGTCAAAGTTAATGCTTACGCCATATATGAAGGAAGTACCCTGAGGTGTTCATGAGACGGGTGGACAGACAAGCTGAGAACATGATACCTCCAGTCACGGCTGCTTCCAGAGCTGAGGCACATATAAATGTCAATTAGGTGAAATGAATTCATCAAATTTAAAACAGCAAGTGAAAGAAAATCTGGTCTTGATGCCAGTGAAGAAAAGGCAAAGACCAGCTCAGTGTCGAGGTGTTATTGCATTTTTTACTGTTGTGTGATGGAGAGAAAAGTTGGACGCAGACCAAATATTCCAATCTGAACAGTTGGTTTCACCAGCTGATTTCCTCGCTGCCAGGACTCAGTTTCCAGCAGAGAGAACAGGAACATATGGGGTGGATCTAGTTTCTCATTGAATATTCCAGTGGTGAATCGAGCCCTGCTTCACTGAGTGATCGCTGTTCCCTGTGGTATCAATAATACAGGAGGAAGTTATTGTGCCTGTGCAGGCCCCAGTATCGTACAGCTAAAGCGAGTGGAGGGGGGGGGGGTGGTCCTTTCACTCGGACCTCTTGGGTTTCAGGGCCCGCAGACAGTGGTCTGACTCCTGGGAGCCTGCTGCTTTGCCCTTGCACAGGGCTCAATTGTGAGTCTGCCTGACCGATGGATAAATGTGTCTAAACACTGACAGCCTGCACAGTCCCGCTGGCCAGGCACCGTCAGTAAGACTACACCCCTCCCACCCCCCACCCCCCACACCCAACAAACCCGCAGTCACAAGACGAGTCCCAGCTGAGAGACAGCTCAATAAAGAATTAGTCAGTGGGAGACCTGGGACAGTTAGAGGATGGGATAGATATCATGGGTGTGATTAACATGATCCAGATTTTCACCTCATTTGAGCAGCTAGCTGAGTGCGGCGACCTTGCTGTAGCCTTGTGAAGATCCAAAATAGACCTGGGAAAACAAAAACAATATGTTCTACATCCAAATAGACACCTCTGCTGTTTTTCAGGAGTTCTGCACATTTAATCACATTTTCTGTCCTTTTGTCTTCTAAAAGTGTCAACCACACATAGGACGACGAGTAAACTCATGAAACACGAAACCGAGCAACAACCTAAACCCCAGAGACCAAAAAAACAGCTATAAGAGCAGAGAGAGATGGAGGACAGAGGTGGGAGGGGTGCAGGGGGAGAGTGAAAGGTAGAGAAAGTTGGAGTGATGGTGAAACAGAGAGGGCCTCTCAGAAAGAGGTCAGCTGTGAGTGTGCCGACGCAGATAAAATACTGGTGACCGCTTAAAAGAAGCTTTAAGACATAAATGGATTGTAGCTGTTGGTGAGTCCTGAAAATATTTTTTACTCACAGTTTTCATGATTGTGATTTATCATTGATATTTAAAATGTGTTTAAAAAACTTCTTTCAACAGAAAGAGATGTACAGTATATTTCTCCTACTCCTTAATCTCTTTATGAATCAGAACTGTGTTATTAACTGTGCATTTACCTTATTTCATGTTCAACTCTTTTCTTCTGACACTCTTTTCAACACCATATACATCCCTGCCTTTAATAGCTTGCATCTTAATACGTTTTATTAGTTAATTATTTTACTGATACTTGTTTAGTAACCTTGCTGCGAAAGTGGTAAGGTGATGTGGCAGCCAGTCATTAAGGTTTAATAGTCTCTCTCTGCGAATTTACTTTACTCATTGAGTCCACCCCATCTCTTCAATGAAAAGAACAACAACACACTATCCGTCTAAATACAGGATTTTGTGATATCAATAGGAAAAACAGCCCACAGAGAAAGATGTGACCCCACTGTGTCACTGTTCACGTTGACATGAGATGAAGATGGCAGAGAAAGGGCCAGGGATGGCCACTCTCAGATTCACAAGCGTCATAGTTTGTGCTGTTTTACTGGGACAAGGATCCTTTGAGATAACAGGTGAGTGATCCACCAAAACATTGTGCTTGTGTTAATGTACTTATGGAATGATGCTGGCTTAAGATGTCTATAACTGTGCTCTTCCAGGAGGGGATAAAAAGGACCAGAGAGAAGCTATTCTGAAGGAAATCTTTTCAAAGTGGAGTGAAGGAGGTGGTTGGAATTCTCAGAAAGTTCCTCCAGAAACAAACAAGGACCAGTCCATGCACCCTTGGGTGAGGAATATCATGGGGGGTCTCAAATCATTTCTGCCCACCAAGACCCTGCCTTTACTGAACAAGCCAATTGACAGACACAGACTCTCTGGCTTTCTCTACAACATCTCTCAGTACCTCCAGGAGATGGGCGCTGAGCTGGAGGAGGCCCCGGTGGAGCCAGATGAGGAGCAGCTGTGGGAGAAGGTGCTGCATTTCTTTCTCCAGTCTGAAGGAAGTGCTGCACTAAACCAGTGGAATGGCCGGGTGCCCCCTCGACCAAGCGTCAAAGTGCAGGACTGGTTTTTGTCCCTCAGGGGCAGCCCTCACTGGGACTGGCTCCTGGGGCTGCTGCAGGGTCTCATCAGTCTCTCAGAGCGACAGCCCCACAGGCCTCTCCTGACTTTCTTATCTCAGAACTGGAGAACAGTGAGCGCTGTGCTGGAAGCTGCACTTCAAGCTATGGTCAGTGGGACATATGGCCAGGCCAGTGCAGGCCTGCAGGGCTTCATTTGTGCACTGAAGGGTCGCAGTGACTGTGCCTTCAGTGTTAGTTGGCTTCAGCAGCTGCTGCGTTTCTTAGAAACACGCAACTGGAAGCCTGTGGTCAGTCTGCACCCAGCAGGAGAAGGTGAACACAGCAAAGGCTCAAGTGCTTTTGGACGTTTGAAGCCCTTCAGCCTGCCTCCTGAGGCCATGAGGCAGGATGGGCTGTCTGGAAACATATCTATGGAAGACAAGATGGCCACAGAGGATCCAGACTTCATGCAGAATTTACTGCTGCAGGCGTTATCACGCTCAGGTGGAGGAGAGCGAGGAGGTCACCTGGCTCAGAAGAATGTTGCTCTTGTGCAGAGTTTGGACGGGCTGAGGAGCGGCCTCCTGCACAGGGTGGGTAGTTCTGTGTATGGTAACCTGAGGAAGAAAGTGTCACGAGTTACCATGGCACTGCTTGATGATGTCAGCGGTTTGGTGGACGCTCCGCAGCCCAACGCCCAGGGCCGCTGCACAGTTGGTGAGTTTGTGGGGCAGCTGGCAGAGGGGGTTTGTGCAATCATTCACGTTTTAATTCACATGCATTCATAAAAACAATCTCCGAAATGAATTATTAGGTGATAAAGAAAGATTTAAATGGCAAAATCTTGGCAAAGCAACAATGATACAAGTGTTCAT